CTTTCAGTGCGGCTCAGCCGAGCCGAGGCATATGCCTTCGGCTCGACTGAGCCGCTCGGCCAAGTTCCGGAGCTGTACAGGCTATTGTGAATAGCCCGTACAGCAGCCAAAGGGGTTCTGGGGCCTAAGCTAGCCGAAGGATCGGCCGAAGCTACGGCTAGATCCTTCGGCTGCTTCCTGAATAGACCCCATAGTGGTCTTGGTGAGATGACAAAAGCCAAGCATCAACCAGAGGAGCTGTAGTCAATATTTTTGGGAATCTTTACTACCCAAATGGGATACATATACTGGGCTGAGTCAGATGACATAAGCTAAGCATAAATCACAGAAGCTGTGAAAATATTTTCAGGGATACCCAGATAAGTTGAAGATAGATATGTCTGCACTATTGACAGGTTTCCTTGAAGCTGTAATATATATTTTTTCTGTGTTATCACTTGGATCCCAATCACATTCACTCTTTATTTTTTTTTTAGCCTACAATGTTTAGGCTGCTATGAGCTTCTGCAAACCATTCTACTGCATTCATTTGATTAACAAAACTCATTAATGTAATGTACATGAAAACCATAATTACTTATGTCTGTAAAAAAATAAATAAATAAGGACAACTAGACTTGCTGTATTTTTCCCTTTTTTGAGAAAGATAGTCGGATGAGCAACGAAAAGTCTTCAAGAAAAATACGGCAAGTCTAGTTGCCTTGATTTCTTTTGTACAGATATACCATGACCTGGATGAATAAGAACCTCACAGACAATACTTACTTATATGTTGGAGTTGGATTTGCTCTGGCTCTGCAGTTCATTGAAACTTTCCCATCAGAAGATTCTTCCGGATGAATGGTGTCAATTGGCTGCTCTTCAAAAACTGGCCCATATCTTTTTCCATCCTCTAAAATTCAATGCACATAAGCAATTACCACAAAAATCAATAAATCCAGGCATTAGGAATAATATTACAATCTACATAAAGCAGTAGCCAAGCTTTTCTTTAATGCAGAATCTGCAATTCCGCCAAACCAAGTACAAAGTAAAATGAAGATCAAATAACAAAAGTGATTTTTAACTAAAGTGCTTTTGAGGTGCCTTTAGCAACATGGAGTATGTCTCTTTCCTCAAACACATCTCCTGTCCCTTTCTTCACAAGGAGAAGTAATGTGAGAGTTCAACTGCAGTGCTGCTGCAAGTAACAATTCTGACATTCTCACTCATATGTATCCAGTTTAATTTATTCATAAATATAATGCCAACATACTCTGCAGAATGTAACACATCAGAATGACCTTGCAGTCAAACACCCCCATTAAAGAACAAAATAAACACACTAGAACTAAATTGAGTGGATACCATTATGTTTTTTAGAGGAAACTGGAGCCCCAGAGGAAAACCCACATAGATATAGATAAGAACATACACACATTGTGTGTGTGTGTGTGTATATACATATATATATATATATTGTGACAGGGTACACGATTCTGTGTATGTCAGTGAGAGGTTGAAAAGGGCAGATTTCCGTGGCTAGGTAGTAGCTTTGAAAAATTACTTTTAAACATGTGGGCAACTATGGATTTATGCCACTCAGCTGTTGCAAGGGCACAGGAGGTAGTAGGTACCGTTGGATTATTTTACTACAAAGAGAGGTACCTGTTTACTTTTTTGCCATCATACCAGCTATCCATTTAAAATGCTGGAGAGATGAAGGGCATATCCTATGTATTTCTGCTATCACATTTTTTCTTGATCTATGCTGTATTAGTTACAGCAGGCAGTTTTTTTCTGTCTGAAGTGAAACATCTGTCACACCTCACTCTGTCATGCACATACTCCTACTGCCTTTAACTGCTGCCGACTTTTACAAGCTGTGTCCTCTTTTCACTCCAGGCACAGACATCAATGTGCACTGTGACACATAAAAGGATTTAAATAAATGGCCACATGCATACTGCAGTACTTTGCCACATATACCTGTTTCAACTCACCCATTAATAGCAATAAAGCATAAATTAAATATACTACAAAATGATTCACATTGGGCAATCGATACTTTTTATATAAATATACCTGCATTATATTTATTAATTTCTTGTATGTACGTTGTGCTGGGCAGGTTCATAAGACCTGCTATGCTTTTGCCAATTGATACTTCTGATAACTGATATCCGCTTTAAATGTAAGATTTAAATTGGTTGGATACCACACCTTTTGCATGTTTTAATCTCACAAAAATAGCAACCTTAAGCTCCCTTTGCATGCCTACCCCCATCTAACCATATTTATTCCTATTATTTTTAAATACATTGAACTGTCCCTGTGTTCTTCAAGTATAAGCTATGGTCATCAAATTTGTAAATATTTCTAACACATTCAGCACAGGGAAAATGGTTTCCTATGATGATATAGTAAATCACTATCGGTAACTGAGGTGCTTTAAGCATTTTCCATGAACATGTGCACTCCTACCTCCTACCTCCTTTTCCAAACCGAGCTATACTCAAATCTTATCATTCTCTTGGAATGGTTAAATAAAGAGTGTCCTTACCTGTCTGAAAGTTTAAGGCCCTATGCATATAGCCCTCCTGCAATAAACACAATAGAAGTTACCTAGGAAGTCTAAACAAATGTTATGCTTCCCAGATTACTTTTTCCTGTGTTTAGATGTTCCTGATTTTAGCCACATTTACATGCTTTTAGCTGTGTAAAATCAGGCTAAATGGTGCCAGGATGCAGAACATTTCAGTAAACACAGATAGACTGAATTCACCTAGATGCTGCTGAATGAATAGGTGTGCATTCAGCCACAGCAAAGCACTATATGCTACCAGATGAGTTTAGAAATGAGCTCCAAACACACCTGGACATATGCATTTTACTTCCCGAGTGCATGAGGCCTTAAATAGTAACCTCGCCTGTCTAAAAATTCAAAAGCTTAGGGAGTCATGTGATCGCCAGTGAAGGAGAGGATTAGCCAGTCTGAACACTGATTCAAATCAGCTAATCCTCTCCTTCACCAAAGATAATGCAAACAAATCCGGCGCTTTAAGTAGCATTTTCTATAGGAAAAGTAAGCCTTTCTTGCATTTCACACGTCTATATTTATCCATCACATACCAAATTAAAATGTATCTAAAAACTTTTTTTTCATTAGTTTTGGATGAATTGGGGAATAATTAAAAATTAATCAGGATTTTTTGCTGAGTTCCATTGCATGGATTTCTGTTCACTTCTTGTCATATAGACACAACAGTATGTAAAAGATAATCTCTCCAAAATAAGGTAAAGCCTCTTGCATGCAGTTTTGCCTTTTAGATATACTGTAACATTTCAGAATAGTTACCTCTACAAAGAAAACAAGGTTTACTCCTGTGGATTCGAGAATCTATGTTAAATTGTACATAGCACATCACAGTCCAACCTACAAACCAATAACTGAACTTGTCCATCCTTTTTCTAAAATATTGATAATCACTATTTATTGAAATAGTGATGGCATATGTATTTTTATACATGGACTGCTATCATGCATTTTACTTATTAACATTTACCTGGCAACACATGTTCCTGTAAAGAAGAACATTCAGCACATGCAAAAGCCTGGAGGTACAACAGGATGTTCTATTACACCCTTGTCCTTAAACTATATATACAGTCAAAATATTTTATTTTGTTTTGGATAGAATGGTGAGGGGTTAGACCTGTCTCCCCTCTAGGGAGATTTCCGATTTCCTCCATTCCACCACTGTCACCAAGACAGGCTGTGAGGGTATATCCAACATTTTAGAGTGGGCAGCAAAGCAAGAGGGGAGGGTAAATTATCCAATGGGGACAACAAGTTTAATGACAACTCTCTAAAATTGAGTTTTCCCTCCAGTTCCTCCTGTGTCTGCAGGACCAGACATGAGGGGAAATATCCCCAGCAGGATATAAACAGCAAAAAATAACCTGATAATGGTTTTTACCCTTCTCTACGCAAAACTGAAAACATAACTGGTTTAGATACACTTTAAACATGAATATTTGAGCAGACGCACAGTATAAGATAATATGAACCACATTAAGGGCATTATACTATTTGTGTATAAAACAAAATATCTTACCTGCCCAGCAGAAGAAAATGTACAATAAAAGTTGTGTTAAGATAGGCCACATTTTGACTGATTGAACTATGTAGCAATTCTTCCACTTATTCCGTTTAATGTCTTTAGTTTATCTCTGTTTGAAATGAGAAGGGAAAACATGAACATTTTACTATAATCATAAATAACAGCAAAGCAAAATAGCTATTATTAAAAATCAGTATATCAAACATTCACCATAAATTAATATTTTCTTTATTAAAGCGTAATTCATGATGGAAAACAATCAATTGGGTATTATTGTTATCCAGTAAACTGAAGAACAGAGTCCCCTATATTCACCAAAATCTGTGCTGTGTATGATCCCATTTGGAAAAAGCAACTGTAGCTCCATAGAGGGTCAGTAGGAGTTCACCTCCTGAAGATAACCTACTTCCTATCTCTGCTTTATATATCACCAATCACATTCAAAATTCCAAAGCAGATTTGAATCTGATTGTTTCACTTGAGAACTGTCTTAATCCTGGTATTTTTAAATTTTTTTTATTTTAGATCAGGCTTCCTGTATGAGAGGTTGCACGGACAGTGTACTAACATGACCAGCAGTTGCATTTCAGGATTACCGTATTACAGATCAAAGAATAAGGGGTTGCCTGGTGTAGTATTGCAATGTCAGGGTAAAATACTCATCAGATAGACTATGTTCCATGTGTGCAGCTCAAGGTTCAATTTGTAAGTGTGGCTAAAGGGTACGTCTAATAGCTGCAAGTGCCTTCCCTCTTCCCTGTTGGTGTGAGCCAAGTGCAGGACTCAAAGGGATGGTAATCTTCTCTGCATGATAGTTCCAGCTCTGACATCTGAACAAGAAGGCAACAGGGAAGAGAGAAGCTTCAATGGTGGTAGGGTTAGGGCCCATTCACACTATATACAGTGACCTGCATTTTTCTGCACAGAATACAGAAAATGCAGGTCACTGTTAGGGCACATAGAAATAAACTGTTTCCTAAGCATTAAGGAAGTACATACTGTGGGCATCTTTAATAAGAAGTAAGTTTACAAACTTCTAGATCAATGTGGTTATCAGGCGTGGGATAGGACCTATATAGAAATACATTTTTTTTTTTTATTTGTAGTTTTTGACCAAATTATTTTTGTTGCTCAAAGCAATCAAACAGATGTCATTAGGAATTAAAGGTAACGCTTAGTTTTGTTTGTGCAGCCCTAAATATTGTTAGCAATGCATATTTATTTTTAGTTTTTGTCAATAGATACCCTTTAACTGTTTAAATGCACAGGATCATCCAAGCCTAATTAATACTGCATATTAATGTTTTGTTG